CCAAGAGACATTTTTTGTTTAGAATGAAACAGGCTATCGGAAATGAATTTTTAAATGGTAAACAAATAATAAGACAAAAAGTTACATTGGAAATAAATTTTAGGGGTTGCGTTTTCCACCCCTTACAACCATGGGGTAAACCAAATAAATTACTGGCTAAGTGTGTTTTTAGTAGCACAAAACGTCAGGTTAATTTCAATATTGTAACTTTTTCAGTGCTTGTGAAAAAAATTGTTATATACATTTTATGTACCCCCTTCAAGGGGCTGTTTCTCTACGAATTCAAATTGAACCAAAGCGCTGCCGAAGTAAACTGACAAATCACCAGGCATTTGGCAATGATAGTGGTAATGAACGCACTGTTCGACGTTTTTTCACGACATTTTGTTCTGGAGATTTTAAGCTCTAAGATGAACCCCGAACTGGTCAATCTACAGTAATCCATAACGAGGATTTCAGGACCCTGATGGAGATTGAACCATCACAAACCGTGCGTGGAATGGCGGAAGAAGTGAGCGTCAGCTCCCATGCGGTCTTTGATGGTTTCAAATGTATTGGAAAGGTCAAAAAGCTCGAAAAGTGAGAGCCTCGCGATTTGAACGATCGATAGAAAATGTCACGTTTCAAGGTTTGTTCTTCTTTACTTTTGCGCAACCATAACGATCCTTTTTTGAATCAGATTGTCATGTGTGATGAAAAGTGGAACGTGTACCACAATAGGAGACGTTTAGGACAGTGGTTGGATACTGATGAGGCATTCAGGCACTTTCTAAAGGCAAAAACCCACCAAAAAATAGCCTGGTTATTGTATGGAGGTCAGGGGTTGGTGTGAGGAAATCGACGAAATGTACCAAAAATTGCGTCCGCAGCACTGGTCAACAGAAGAGGTCCGATACCACTCCGCAATAAGTCCCATCCGCACGTTTCACAAATCGCCTTCTGAAAATTGAACGAATTGAATGTTGAAATTCTGCTTCACCCGCCATACTCCCCAGACCTTTCGCAACCTAACAATATCTTTTCATCAGTTCGGACTTCCATTGTCTAATATAATATAAATTGATTTGAAATTCCTGAAAAAATATTAACCAAAAATAACAATTTTATTTGAACAAAAAAACTGAAATTATAAAGAAATAACATCAAGCACATCAACAACGTAAGTCCTTCCATCACTTTCACAATGGAAAAGGAAGTCCACAACGAATTGCCTTTCTTAGACGTATTGGTGAAGAGGACCGATACTAAATGGGAAACATTTGTATATCGAAAACCCACTCACACAGGACAGTATCTGAACCAGAAATCCAACCACCATCAATCGACTAAGAGAGAAATCATAAAGACTCTACTAGACCGTGCCTTCGGGCTCTGTAATACAAAGGAAGGTCTCGAAAGGGAACTAGGCATCATCAAAAACGGCCTTCAACGAAATAGTTACTCCAGAGTGATGGTAGAACAGGCTTTAGCTAGAAGACAGCAAGGGTTCCACAAGGAAGGGAAGCCTCCACAACCAGTACTTGTACTTCCCTACATCAGAGGATTATCGGAAAGGATACGAAGGATTGGTTCCAAGTATAACATCAGGACCTGCTTCAGATCTGGGAACACTATCCGTATCAACCTCACGAAAACCAGGCCACCAAACGCGAACTGCGATTCCAAGAATTGCATTTACCGGATACCCTGCGAGTGCGGAGAATCATACATCGGTGAAACTAAGAGGCCATTGAAAGTTCGCATTGCTGAGCACAAGAAACACACACAGCGAGGAGATCAAATCAATTTATATTATGTTAGACAATGGAAGTCCGAACTGATGAAATACACCACGAAACATTGTCAACCACCTTCAGACAAAAATATCTTTTCAAGTACTTCAATAACTTGTTTATCGGTAGAACCTTCGTCAATCAGGACTAGACAAAACGGCCTTCGTTGACTCCATCGAATACCGAACACGCAATTTCTATGCCGACGGAATTGATCAACTTGTGTTACATTGGCAAAAGTGCACTGATTCAAATGGCGATTATTTCGATTAAATTGAATAAGTATTCACTGAAACATTACGGAATATAGTAAATTCATAAAAACGGAAAAAACTTTCGAAATCATCTAATACCTAGTACAAGTGAATTATATATCTGAGTGAATAAACCATTAACCTAATGAACATTCGCAGAATGTTGGAACCACTTTTGATCCCAAATATTCAAACTTTTCAGTTTTAATTGAGAGATATACAGGTGATGTTAGTGAGAAACAGAAGAGGATTGTAATACTCTTTCAAATATTTGCCTTATTTCTTTAAGATGCTTGTATGTTCCTCATAACCCAGAAAGCGAAACTTTTGACGAATTGAATGAAATGTTGACGGATTATTTGTCTTTCGTGTCATCCTGTTTTGCCAAAATGTTAAAATTTTATATGAATTCCCCATTAGAAGAAAGTGGGTATTCACAGAATTTTTTTTTAATGTTTTCTTAGACAGAAAATTATTTCTCAACGAATATCTGTTTTGCTAATGCTATATCAGCACATTAGGATTATATAATTGAAAACTTCAAAGAGACTGAAAAAATGGTAAAGAATCCAAGTAATAAATAGCGTATCAAAGTTTTTAATCAAAACATTAAACATTAATAGGGTTGAAGATAAAGTTACAATAGCAATGTATAAAGACTAATATATTTGTGAAAGGTTAACAAGTTAGTCAGAAATTAAAACAAAATCTTGAATTTTCAATGATCTTCCTCAATGATATTTCAACTGCTATTTTCTTATTTGAATTTCAGGAAACTTCTTTGAAAGTGTTACAGGCAGAAATAGGTCAAAGAGCTGGGGAAACACTCAAAGAACAATCTAGAGGTATTGATCGTAAACCACTCAGCTTTAATCATGAAAGAAAATCTGTTTCTGCTGAAATTAATTATGGAATTCGTTTTAAAACATTAGATGAATGTTATAACTTTTTACGAAGCCTGTCGAACGAAGTATACACAAGGCTCTATGATATAAAGAAGAGAGCTAGATGTCTCACTTTGAAATTGCTAATTAGATCTCCGGAAGCACCTGTGGTAAGTAAAAAAGAAACTATCATTCAACCGAATTGAAAAAAAAATTTCATTGAATATGTGTCTAGTATCTATAAATGTTGACCAAACAATAATATCAGTTAAACATTGTTATACAAGTTAGATGGAAACAATTTTTATTAATGTTTTCTTGACGTCTTCACACTTAGATAAATCCCTACCAAATTTCTCACTGAAGTCAAATTAATGATTTTCTTACACTTTGTTACTAACAAAGAGAACAAAATCCTGACTGGTGGGCTGTGGTTGAATGGAATCTGAAGTACCAAACGTTTTGTCTGCTATTGCGGCAGACATCATCCGTGGTATGTGCTTTGACTGCAAGGACTATGGTTATATCTAGAAGTCTCAGCAAAGATTCATGACGTTCACTTATAACACATTTTAAATTCTAATTTGAAATATTGGGCATTTTTTCGAAATTTTATAAATTTTGTCATCCCATACAGAAATAAAAACTCGCCAAACCAAGAAGTATGCAAAGATATAACCCCGTATTTGATTTAAGGAAACGGCAAAGTATTTGGGCCATGGAATCTGCGACAGCCTAACCAAAACTGCAACAAATATTATAATAAATAGTCCTGAAATTGTTTTTAAAGAGTGTAAAACTTTGTATGAAAAACTGAACCCATCAATCGCTGATTTGAGAGGCGTGGGAATTCATTTGAGTAAATTGGAAAACATCACAGTTCAGGATACGGCCCTAAGCAATTTTTTGAAGTTATCATCAAATAAGAACATTGTAAAGCCAAACAGAGATATTGAAAAGCCAAATAAGGATGAGATTGAAAGCAGAGAAAATGAAACTTCAACAATTTTAAAGAGTAAAGAAAGTTCATCAAATCAAGAGGTTAGAAAGTCCAGTAGAGGCCGTCCAAGGAAAAACAACAACAGTAGTGAAAATAAAATAGTTAAACCTACATCCAAGCCACTGACTGATTTTTTTGGAAAAACCAAGAATTTGGAAATAAGTGAAAAATCGCAAAAGGTAAAGAAAACCTACTATATTTTTCTATTACTGTTATTATGTTTCATTCCAAATTTCCCAAAAATAATTTAACAAATCTACATGTAAAACTTAAAAGTCAGAAGTTAATGAACTTCTGTGTTTAACGTCAGAATGTTATAAAATTCCATGTTCAAAGTAATAATTTAATTCACTTCAGATTTTGCAGTTCAAGTTTAATAAAATTTTACGTTTCAAGGCGAAACTTTAACCATTAATTAATATTTGTGATACGCTGTTTGCAACCTTTGGTATAGTAATTAATATTACTGGAGTTTTATCCCAACACTAAACCGTTATTTTAACACGTCCACACGTGTTTCGATCACCAAGTGATTATCTTCAGTTTAATCTTCCTAAAACTTAAATATAATTTCAATATTACTCATACCCCCCTTTATGATGTTCTCGTTACATCACTGTTTGCATTTTCTTCAAATCTAGTTTTTTTATGTATTCATAGGATTAGTTGATGAAAAAGCACTATCATTTTCAAATAATCATGATCGATAACTCTTGGTTTAGTATGTTCCAGTGAAAGGTGAGATCGATTTAGGAGTACTCAGTGAGCTTCCCGAGGAATTGAGAAAAGAAATAATGAAAGAATACAAGTTAGAAAGTACTATTCCATCTACATCAAAAATTGAAATGGAAACTCAAAAGAAGCCAGTGAAAATTCGTCATAAACATTCAAATAAAGGTAATGGAACTTCGAAGATTCTTGCTGATATTGAGTTATCACTTGGTTATAGTAATTCTATGATGCTTAGGATGTTCATGATATTCACAAAACCACCAATGAATGAACTGANCCTCGCTTTTTTTACAATAATACTAGTATTTTTTGAACTATATTTATTTTTCATTTTTTAGTTTCCGTTTGCTATAAAAGCGTATTTTTTAGTTTTTTTAAACTATATTTTATATAAACTTTGGGATCAATCAGCCGTATATTGTTTAGAAAAATGTCCATTGATATTTTCCGATTCCGGAGAGGGAGCCTGAAAGTCAGCTACCATGCCCAAGGCAGCAGGCGCGCAAATGAGGGTTACAAATGAGAGCAGGCGCGCCTGTTAATAAAAAAAATACTTTTTTCAAATGAAGAAAAACCATGTAAAGTGAGTTCGAATTATATTAAGGAGGTTACGTAAAGCATTATCTACTCGCGAATAGATCAAGCAATAATGTCGATCTATCAAGGAGGTTACTTACAGCGCCATCTGCCCGCGAATATATTAAGCAATAATGTCGATAATTCTGTCAAATACAGATTTCGAGCATGAGAGTTACAAACAAACAAACATACATACATACAGGTGAAGCTAATATAAAGCGTGTAATAAAAATCATAATTGTTTCTGAACTGTGTCTGAAGACTGTATCCAGGAGAGATACATACGTACTAGAAAATAAATATTTCAAAATGAAACTTCGAAATATTTATCTTTCCTAATCAACTACACTGTAGGTTCTGGTAATTTCCTCCGGAAAACAACTACTTCTCAGGCTAGTACTACTCTGGATATTGAATTACATCCGACAGACATTTATGCAAGATATCTCATCCTCATAGGCTAGTCTCGCAGATGTTTTTCGTTCATCCAGCAGCAGGACCATGCCGGTAGTTGGGAAAGATACATATTTCGAGATTTTGTTTCAGAATATTCATTTTCTAATAATTGTTTCTGTTTAAAAAATGGTAACTATCATTATTTGCCATGGCGTAAACTAAATTAACCACTCTATTTAAGGTCAAACTCAATCTAGAAGTCATCCATTCAAAAACCTTACGTGGGATCAATTCAAGCCAGTGATAGAAAAGTGGACGCTATCAGGCGAGAACCCAAGACAAGTTGATGTTGAAATGATAGCTAATCATTTCAAAAAACTTGCACTTGATAGAAAAATTGAGAGTTTGAAAATTACTTTCAGTTTTCTCCATAGGTAAATTCATTTTTTTTAATATACTTTTGATGTTGCAGCATTTACGTGACGAAGATTATTAGTTATCCAGTTAACACATGTAATATATCTAGAGGAAATTCGATAACAACATTTAATTTGCCTCTAAATCTTTCCNGGAAACTTATGAATTAATAGGGACTTCGTGTATTTTCTTCTTTCCTTGCAACTCGAACACGTTGGTTTTTCATCTCCATCCAGTTTCCTCTCTTGTAAAAGAATCCAAGCATTGTGACAAACTCAATTGGCCAATTCTTTGTGAAATGTCTAGCTATTTAAATATCGGAACGTTCACCTGACTCAAGAAGTTGATTATGAACCAAAATTATCATTGGATAATCCCAGACTTTCTGACACTGTCATATTATGAAGCGTTCGTGTGAATGATATATGTTTCAGTTCCATACCGAATGTTCGGAGTAGAAAGTGAATAGGAAAATGTTTTTTTGTGTGATTCAATGTTCGTATGAGAGAAGTTGTTTCAAAAGTACTTTTACTTTTGTGTAATTTAATGTTTATATGAGAGTAGTTGTTTCGAGGCGGCTTTTTATTCCAGTTTTTATCTGAGAGTAAATTCTATGCATGATCTACACATATTTGTAAAGATTTTATTTTGAAATTATCCTTTCTTTGGATGTTTTCCATATTTTTTGTATAAAGATTTCGATTTGTCACACTCAACGGAATTAACATTTTGAGCATATTCTTCAGCAGTTGATAAATAACGAATTTCTAGATATTTGGTTCTTTAAAATTTATTTTCTTCGAATCTCAATTCATCATTCCTTGAATTAGACTAGTCCAGTCTGACCATGGAACAAAAAATTACTCTTTTTTTCTCATGACTATTTTCGTAATGATTGAATATTTGCTTTTTAATATTTTGGATTCAATTTCAGACTTTTTTCGGTGCTAAATTGTAACTGGCATGGAGCTTATTTCAAAATAGTAAATATTATGCAAGAGGGAATGGTTGCAAGATATGGAGGAACTTTGATGGTCAGAAGGAAGTTTCAGTGTTGTGAAATGTATTGAAATTTTCAAAAATATTTTTTTGACATACATAATAATAATTTCATTTTCAGGGATTTGGATTCAAAGAACACGCATAATGGCTCTACACACACTCTGTAGTATTAATTGAGTGCTCTCATGTATATATTTTATGTAAATATTTTTTTCATTTTTAATAAATAATAGATGAGCAGCTTCTCCAATTTTATACAATAAATGTGGAAAACTTCAGAAGAAAGAAAGTATGTCCAAAATTAACTCTCTACAAAGATGTACAGATCACAATATATATAGTAGTTACTTTCAGATATAAACTGGAAGAAAAAGCCCCCCTCGAAACAACAAGCACATGTTCACATGAACATGTGCTTCAACTGGAGTATAAATCGAATAGGAAAAAGTGATTTTCGTAGTAGTTGTTTCGGAGTACTTTTTTCTTTCGTGTATTTCAATGTTAATGTGAAAGTATTTATTTTGGCTTCCGATGGATTTATTGTGTAGCAGTCCTTTCGATGAATCTCAAGAGGTACGTACCTCTTTCAGTGTGGCTCTACCAACCCCAACGTCGGAAAGGTTTTTGTCCCAAGTTGCAGAGACCATGGCAAGGACCTTACTTGGTAACCAAAAAGATAAACTATCTGGTGTACAGAATCCAAGTGTCATCCAGAATCAAGCTTAAAATTTACCACATAGGCGGAGTCCTTACACCTTTGTGCATTCAAATGATAAAGGAATATTATTATTATCACCTTAGTGTGCGCTGGTCAGGCCCTATCCTCCGAAGCCCCGATACATTCAAAAGGGCGCGCCAGCATTATCAACCAATGACCACTCCCCACACCGTGGGGTAAGTGATCATTGGGTCCGAGAATTATGCGCCCTGAGCAAGCGCAGTGAGCCAAGAATGACAGCCTTCTGCATCTGTGGCTGAGATTTCTGCCTTAGTGCGGCAAGCCAGTATGATTTTAAGATTCGAGAGTAGAGAGGACATCATTCCACCAAGGACTCCAATAATCAATCTTGAGATTCATCGAAAGAACTGTCACACAATAAATCCATCGGAAGCTTCAGTTCCCTACCAGTTAACAACATGGATGGTGTGTAACCTGTCGCGTCGTGTTGGGAAAAAGACGGAAAAAGAGGAAACAATTTATCCCAGTCTCTTTGATTTTCGGAAACAAACATCGACAGGTAGTTATTGATGGTACGATTATGCCTCTCAACCTTCCATCGGATCGTGGGCGAAGAGCAGTTGTTCTTGTCTTCTTTATTCCCAACAGAGTCATCGTTTCCTTCCATAAATCCGATTCGAAGTTGGGCCCTGCGAATTACGTTCTGCAACAGGGCTTCTGCCACCGTTTTAGCCTCTTGGTTGGATAAGGCTACTACTTCAGGCCATTTGGAAAAGTAATCTATGACAACCATAAGGTACTTGTTACCGGATGTGGTCATAGGGAGTGGTCCTAAAATGTCGACTGCGATTCTCTCGAAAGGGCACCCACAGGGGTACTGCTTCAACTTTCCTCTCTGCCTTGTCTTCGGACCCTTTCTTGAAGAGCACAGGTCACAGCGCTTACACCACTCTTCCACGTCTCGACGGCAGTTGACCTAATAGTACCTCTTGGGTACTTTCATCCAGGATTTACCATTTCCGAGTGAGTAGGTCATCTCGAATGCTCATGGAGTCCCATTGGAGGAGCCATTCTCGTACAGTTTTCAAGACGGGATCCTCCTTCTGCGCTACGACGATGTCTTGCCTCGTCAGAAAGGTAGTGTCACCCTCAGAGGCTGTTAACGACCGTACCACACCATGGTGAGGAATCACCTGACCATGGAGATTTGGCTGTCCGTATCCCTGGACAAGGGACCCTTAAAGTTTGCTACCCTCCGGGTCAGAGGGAACCCGAAGCAGTGAGAGGTAGAGGAGCTTATGTCCATCTCCCTATCAGAGCTGTCCATAAAGGAGTCTCTGCCCGCAACTTATCACGTCTGGTGGGAAGTTCTTCTTCTGGTAGCTGGGTATCCTTGTGTTCCTGGCGTTGGCAAAATTTGTATCCGGATGTCAGGCATGGTCTTCTTGAGAGGCTATCTGTGTTTCCGTGACTCTTTCCTTTCCGATGTTGAAATTAAAATCGTAAGTTTGTAACTTTTCGATCCACCTAGCTATTTGTCCTTCTGGTGGTCTGACCTAATAGTGTGATAGTGATCCACCGCTTTGACCACTGCGAGCAGTTCTTTTCTAGTGATGCAGTAATTTCTTTCGGACGTTCCCAGGGACTTACTAAAATAGTTGATGACGACTTCTTCTTCCCCTTGTACTTGGGTATGCCAGGATCGGTGCGCTGGTCAAATGTCTCTTAAGGGCAGCAAATGCTTGCTGGCAAGCCAAAATAAAGGTGCTCTCTTTTCAAGTTCAAAGCGTTCAAATGTAGCGGGAGCGTTGCACAACCCGAACTGCATAAACTTGAACTGGTATAATCCATTGCCGGTGGAAAAGGCAGTATTCTCTTTATCCTCGAGACGAACTGCCACTTGTCAATATTCGCTTTTCAGATCTAATGTTGAGAATCATCTGCATTCGCCCAAGACGTTCAGGGTATCATCTATTCTAATAAGAGGGTAACAGTCCTTTCTGGTGAAATCATTAAGCCTCCTGTAGTCTACGCAAAATCTTGTCAATCCATCTTTCTTAGTTACTAACACAACAGGTGACGACCAGGGGCTGTTTGATTCCTCGATTATTCCTTCCTCCAACATGTCCTTAATAATGGATGCAGCTTCGTCTTGCTTTGCGAAGGGAAGACGTCTCTTCCTCGACGAATCGGGTGGCCTTGCATAGTTCTTCTTCAGACAGATTTATAGACTCTTTTTGAAAGAGTCTATAAATTCTTTTTGGGTTGTTGAGTACGCTGAAGGGGGATTTTCTCTTCGATTCTGGTGGTTTTCACGATCGGTTCGCAGGTGCCTATCACTTGACCTTTCTGAGAGTCACCCTGTTATTATTTGGGTTGATTATTCTTACTGAAATGATCTGGTTGTTGCCATTCACGAGGGATTTGGCCACGATAATTCCTGATTCAGAGCCATTGGATGGCTCCATCAATGCTGTACTCAAGCCGCCAAGTACAGCAATTTCCGCTTGAATAATTTTCTCGATGTTAGGAGAGAATCTGGAATCATCCAATACAACCACCTTGGCGCTGTCATAAGGCTGCGAGGGTACGTCGAGCAAAATTTTCTCATTTACAACCTTCAACAGTTTGTTCCTTATGTCCACCACAAATCCGTAGGGGGACATGATGTCTAGTCCCAGAATGAACTCGTCGACAATGTTGGCCACTAATACCTTAGTTTCTATTTTGCAATTTCCAAACCTCGGTCTCACTTCAGCTTATCCATAGAATGTTATTATATCTCCATTAGCTGTTTCCAGAACAGGTACCACTGATAATTTCTTCAAACTGCTTCTGTTGGAAATGTCGGCTCTCATTACTGACCTCGTTGCTCCAGTATCGATTTCGTTGCTCCAGGATCGATGGTAAAAAGGCACTGATGATTATTTAGGAATCCGTCGACAACCAAGCTATTACTGTTGCGTCCAATTATGGAAATCGAATATCTGGGAGCTTGGGATGCAGCAGCCAATGTACATCTCTTAACGCAGGCTGAATTTGGTTTTTCCAAACCACGACGCTCCAGTTCAGGTGATCTCGAACGCCAGTCTCTTCTTTCGTCGGATGTTGGACGTGATCGACAGTTCCGCCTTAAATGTCCTTCTCTGCCGCAGTTATAGCATTTAGGCCGTCCTCTTGCCTTGGATGCAGTTCCAGTCGTCAAATATTTCTTAAAGAGTTTTTCAAGACCTACCATGACTCGATATTTTCCTTCGTCTTCATTTTCATTGACTGCCCTCACTAGAACTTTTCTTTGTTGTCGCGAAGCATTTTTAGCAGCTTCAAATTCTAGGGCATAAATGATGGCGTCATTCAATGTTTTATGACGTATCATCCTCAATGACTGATGCAGCTCCGTGTCACGAACCCCGTCGATGACACTATGGACACTAATCCAGTGGGTGAAGGTATCTGGTGCTTCTGGGTAGGCGAGTCTTACTAACCTTTCGACTTCAGCTCCAAACTCTTGCAAACTTTCTGATGGACCTTGAGTTCTCACCTTCAGTTGAGCTTGGTAGACTTGTTGAAGGTGCTCACTGCCATATCTGACCTCCAAAGCTGATACGAGTGCTTCATAATCCTTCTGCCTATTCACTGAAATATTTTGCAGAATTTCGGAAGCCTTTCCTCGTAGTGCCAGTATAAGAGCTGTTGTTTTCTTCTCATTTCTCCATCTATTATTTTCCGCAGCGGCTTCAAATTGTCTGCGATAAATTGACCATGAAGATTCGCCATCAAAAGTTGGAGTTTTAATAAAACTACTGCTAGAAGGGGAATATGTCTTTTCCGATTTGCATTTTTCCACAATAAACCTTTTCGGGTCCGGTGATTCTTTGCGAAGTTCCCAGAAAACCTCTTCAAATTTCTTGTCGACTCCTTCAAGCTCTTCCTCAAGCTCCTCTTCAAATTTCTTTTCAACCCCAACAAGTTTCTCATCGACTGCTTTTTCTAATCCCTCCTTTGTTTCCTGAAACACTTTTCCAAATTCTTCCTGAATAAATTCTTGTACCTCTCCTTTACTCACTTGGGAAGATTTTAAATCTTCTAATAAATGAAGGTATATCTGATTGTCTTTTTCCTGAATCCCTAGTGGTAATTTATGATCTTCATATCTGCGTAATTTTTCTTCCTCCCTCCGTCATTCATCTTCATTTCGGCGTAATTGTTATTTCCCTCTTCTTAGTTCATCTTCATCTCTTTTGCGTGCATCTTCCTCTCCTTTGCGTTTTTTATTCTCCGCCAGGCTCGCTTTCAAAGCCTCGAACATTTTCTTAAGCTCTTCCGTCTCGTCGTAATCGACAGTCCTTGTTTTCACCATAAAACAAAATATTTCATTCTATTATTCCATTTTCGACATCAAATGTTACGTTTTTCCCCATAGGTTGACCAATAATTGACTACACTGAATGATCAAACTTATCTTCATTTCACTTTAAATACACAAATTCTTCAACCCAAACTTCAATTATTATTTGAATGTCTATCGCCTTACTAGATCACTTCGCGTACCGCACTGTAACGTCTACTTGACTTTGTCGATATACTCGTGGCTAGCCTTTAAATATTGTAATCAAATAACGTAGAAATTTCGCCAAAGTTCTGTTGAAGTCGGTAGCATTATTCTTGCTGCTTCTCGAGTGGCGGGGAATCATCGTACATTCGCTCGCTCTTAGCTACGTCACGTTTGGTTTATGACAATTTTTTTGAATATGACACTGACCATTGAGAAATATATCTGATCCTAACATTGACCTCGGAGCTAACCGATCACATCCTCGTTCTAGTGAATATCGAACACAGAGCAGATGTAACTAAGACAATAGATCTGTATTATCGAACGCTTGTCAAGCTAATCGAGCGCTCTGATAAGTATGAATGGAACACACTTTTGCGAATCCTGAGGTTGATTCCTTAGAGTAACAAAAGACATAGAGAGATCTTTTCCATCCTTACATTGAAGGCAGCATAACTTTGTTTTCGGCAAGTAAGTTAGCCATAAAACAGTGGATAATCGGAGGGATGGTATACATTTATAAAATAAATCATTTCAGGTGAAAATGTATTCTGTTTAAATAGTTCCTACAGGAAATCTGATTTATTATTAATGATTATGGAAATGAGGCCAGTTTTTCTACCATCCACTAGATGTTTATTTACGTATGACTTTATAATAAAGCGCCTGGTTTACTGGGTTGAAATTAAATTATTTCAAATGAACTAATTCATAACAATGATAAATGTTAATTTTAAAAGTAATGAACTTTGCTTCATAAAATCAGATGAAGAAATTTGTGATTTATTCTCAGATTTGATAAACAAGCGGTACGGTTTGTGAGGTCCGATATAAAGAATTTTCGATTAGAAATCATGAATATTTACAATTACGATTGAGGTTTGATATTATTATGTGATTTCATTAAAAATTGGTATCTAGGGGTCTTTGTGGACCGACAATATGTTTTTTTTTAATAATTCATGCTGACGAATTCTATAATTACGAAAAATCATTAATGTAAATGAAAAAACTGTACCTATTCAAAAATAAAAAAAAATAACTATCTGTTATTCGATAAAATATAAAGTATGCATTCATCATCAGTTGTATCACTCAACATAGTTGTTTCTCAACGTTACTGAAGCAAAGTAAGCTGTGTGAGGATTTTTTGAGAATGTTCTTTAATATGCGAGTTGAATACAACATATTTAGAAAACACTTCAATGAGATTTCCACTTGAAAGTTTACACTTTCAAGTGGAAATCTCATAGTGAAGTGTATTTTATTTTCAATACGTTATAACAGATTTTCATCAAGTATCGGCCAATTTTATCATATTTTCAAATACAACCATTTTGTCTCAAGTTTTGGAGTGTGCAATTTCTATTGACAAAGGTAACACTGGTGAGCAGAGAGCACACTGTGGCACAGCGTGCCACAGAATAGTGAATAGTCACAGAACACTACAAAATTCTGTGGACTAGTATTGTTTATTATTCTGTAGCAGAGCAAAGCAGAGTTAAGGGTGATACTGTGACCTAACCTAAATTATAAATGACAAATGTTTGTTTTTAGATGAATTTTTGGAAATATTTTTCAATATTTGGCTTTTGTTGGAGAAAAATGTTACTTTAATTGTGTTTCACAATTTTGTCATAAAATATCTGGCCAACATTTGGCCCAAAACAGAAATGTTCGACGATAATCCCGATTAAAAATTTCGATTTTTATACTTGATATGTTAAATCAATACTGGCATGTTGACTATTCTATTTAAATCAAACCTCTCCTGTATTTAGAAACACACCCTGAAATTACGTCAACTATTTGGGGACCAGTTTCATTCTTTTGATATAGGAGGATTATCATTAGTGCATTAAATTTGAAAATCCTGTATTCATTATGGTACGGGTAATATCTGTCCACCACTTTGCTAATCAAAACATCCAAGTTCTTGAACAACCTACAGCTTGTACAATTGCCCCACCAAATCGTCTACTGTCTGCTCTGCTGAGTAACTGTGTCGAAGTTAGAGATCTAAGTAATGAATCGGAAGTCATGTTTTCTTTCCCTACGGTGGATGAAGTTATTCAGATTGTACATTGTTTGAACGGTAAGTCTGTTGGTGTAATCGTCCTTCTTAGCTGATTATTATCTCATTTTATTTTTTAGGTGATTATGTGGCTACTCTTGAGACAAAATTTAATCGTCAGAACAAAGAAATCAATTTTGTACGAATTTATATCAATTGGGACAGTGTAGCAACTTTGCAACAATCAAAAATGACCAGTAGCGGTATTAGCCTGGGGTCTTCCGAATGTGGCATGGTTCAGCCAATGAGAGCAAGAATTGCAGGCAGAGTGACCCCAACCACTAATCAGTCTGAATTAGGAAGCCTTGAGATGGTTGAAATACCTGTGAAACGAAATCCAAAATTTATTGATTGTTGTCAGGTAGGAAAAAATGGATATCGATACTTACATTTTCTAGTTATGTACAATAAATTCTTATTTTTGAGTATGTTAAATATAGGCATTTAGAGGAATTTAGGGATTCTCTGGACTTGAATGACCCATATGTTTGAAAATAAATTAGTAATAGGTACTCACTTTCAGATATAATTTTCATACGAAAATAGCACAATCATATGTAAGAACAATCATAAATTTTACTCAATTGTATATATGTTGTTTTTCTAGGTATCCCTTGACAGAATTCTTTGAGTGTCTATGTTTTGCAATAATCATGGCATTATCCAGAGGTGTTATTCTGCTTCATAAGGGGAAACATACAACTTAAAAAAACTTTGACCATATAAATTCACCAGCTTAAAACAGTTTTACCATCTGTGAAAATAAAGTTATAAAAGTTTCACTATGTACAAAAAGATTCAAAAATAATCCAAAAAGATCGATAAACAACTTCTAAATATCTGTCGAAAACCAGACATCTGTTAAATCTGTTAAAATCTGTTTTTCCATTAACGAGCGATAGCTGGTTATTGGAAACCACCGTTTCACTTGGTGGTGAACACTAACCCAACTGGCTACTGTCCCGTATCCTTGAGGAAATTAAATTGTAATAACAGCTGGTGAATTTAACATAGACCTAATGATATTAAATAAATATGCTTGAAAACTGTAACGAAAATATTGTAGAAATACACATTTCGGATCATTCAGGTCAACTTGTACACATTAGAGATCAAGATACACCATGTTCAAGTTATTAATATAATTCTGATGTTGACACCGTTCTCTCATTTCAGACTTCTGGTAATCTTTTGATTCTTTCAAATACAGTCATCAATTTGTACTCATTTCAAATCAAAACTCATGATATATCAAAGATGAGATTTATTGATTTTGAAGAACTACCTCTTCTCATAGAACTATCATTCAGCCCCTTTCATATTGCTTTTTGTGAAAACTACATAGCCTGTATGAATAAGGACACTTTACATTTCTTCAAAATAATAGAACACCAGGGACAAGATAATGAAGAACTGAACAGCAGTAATGAAACTGAATTCAATTTTATTCGTAAGTTTTGCAATATATATTTATTTGAAATATTCAATCTCGTTCTTTTTAGATTCCATTGACGGACCAATAGATTATAAAAAAATATTGACAGAGGAAAAACTGAATTCCAGTCGTGACAAAGTAACTGTTAATCTTCCTACAATAGTAAAAGAAAATAGTTTGATTCACAAAAGTAGCCCATTCACTTATAGCGATAAGGATGTTAAATCCACAATCAGGCTGAGTTCACCTTTGGAAGTAAGATTATTTTGTTAATGGATAGATGAAAATTCATCTAATAACTCATCGTTTGTTTCATGTTTTTACAGTTTTTTAATTGTCACTGTTTTCATGTTGTAATTTTTTTTCTCTTTCTACAAATAAATTAGACAGTTTATAATCATAGAAGTTCATCTGGCAACTTAACGTACCGAGCCAAATCTTAACATCTATTTATCCATAACTATGAAACAGTAGAATTATTTCATAATAAAACTCATTGAAGTATTAATTTGAAAAATTACTTCTTGGTGTACAAAATCCGACTCAACATTTAAAAAAACTTTTACAACATATAAGAAAGCGAAAATAGAAAATACATTAGTTTTCAATACAAGTTGTGTAGTCTTTTATAAATGAAATTGATCATTTTCTCGATATGAACTATCGATCAACAATATTCAGCTGAGATATCAATATGTTGATCTTTTATTTAAAACTGAGGTATTAGAAAATACATATCAACTAAATGCTTTTACAATCAAGTCACTTGGAGAGGTTGTTGCCGAAGAAAAGAATGGTCCTGAGGTTCCATATTGAATTGTTACAATGTCAGGAAGAATTCATTTTAGTGTTTCACGTATCTAGCAAGACCATTTGTGATCCATTCTTTCTCTCCTGTTACATTTGTTTTCATTGGTTTTTTTTGTATGTGGCGTGCTGGATACTGAAAAGATCCATTTTTTGTAGAATAAGTTCCAGAATTATAAAATTGAAAATTTAATACAACTAAAACTTATTCCAATACTGATTGAAAGTGCACAGAGACAGGTGACGGAAGAATTTAAAAGCATGATATTGAAACCTTTATATATCGACCAAAGTTTGAACAGAACAACTGAAAAATCTACCAATCATGTATTAAGAAGCAACTTTAGTAAATGTCTGAACAGCGTCTTGTGCATTATTGCAACTCAGCAAGAAGGATACTTGTACCATTTTGATGATATTGGTGAGCTATATTGAGATGATGTGAAATAGCGAATTGATAGGAAGATAATATTAATTTGTAAAATTTTGCAGAACCTTGTATCGATAGAGATAATTGTCTGGCAATATATCCATTCACAGCCCCTGTATTCAAGTTAGTTATGGAAGATCATTTTCTACATGCTCTCACTGAAACAGGATTAGAATCGTATACATTGAGATATGGTCATCAGATGTGCAGAAATTTCGATACTGTGGATGATATCAATGTGGTAAGAAAATTCAATAAAATCAAAATCATTTGAAGGTTTACAAATTCTACAGTTGCAAAATACCACTGTACTTTCTACCTCAGTTCAATATTCTTTTTTAAATATTACCAAAACTGTGTGAGGTCTAAGTTTTTTTTGTATTGTTACCTATATGCCTTCTTTATAAATAAGAGACCAACTTATTATTTAATGGTTCAATCCAATACCAGGAACATAAATTTAACATTGCTTGTAGTTATTCTTCAATAATATACTTAGGGCTCAAATATTCACTTTTTATTTTCCAAAGTCGTTATCACGTCTTCCCTGATCTAGACTGATCAAAACTCTTGCAAAAGCTCCTTCTATAACCAAATGGTATCAGTTTGCAAGGTGTTCAAAAACATATTTTTCTGTTGACTGGCTCTTGTTTGCTTACGAGTTGAAACTTGCGCGACCTGAGAATTAATAATAACTTAATTCATAACATGTGATTTCTAGCGGAGCCAATGTCTATCGTATTTTAAATCTGCTCAAAAGCTGGCAAGCCATCCAAATGATAACCATGCCCAACGTTACTTCTCTCAGATAGTAAACGAGTTTTCATAATGACCTGTTGTCCTCTCCTAAACCAATTTGTCAAGGAAAAATTATCTCAGGAGAAAGTACTGCAGGCAACTACACTCCAGGAATGTACCCCTGGTAGTAGGAGAATGGATACTCCAGATGCTCTCTAGCAGAGCAATAAGTATTAATGTAGAAGACATCACAGTAAAAGGACTGGTCATGAGGGGATGTCCACAGGGAGGGGTCTTATCACCCCTTCTCTGGAACATAGTTCTGGATACCCTAATTAATCACCTTAACAAAAATGGATTCTACACAATTGCATACGCAGATGACATAGTTATCTTGCAGACCGGCAAATTTGTAAACACANTGAACAGGAAGATGAGACTGTCAGGCATGTCCTGTGCGAGTGCCCGGAGTTATCGTCAATAAGAGAGTGTGTGTTCGGCGAGTCTTGGCCTACACCTGCCGATATAAAGGAGATGTCTCCCAGCGACCTGTCCACCTTCCTGGAAAGGACAGGATGGACGATGACCTAGGAGGACAACTCCTCGGGAGGATGTACAATGGGTCACATGTGGCCTAAGTGCGTGGGCTTACACTCACCCTCCCTACTCTACAGATACAGATACAGAAACTACTAGAAAGTCCAATTAGTCAGTAACTTGTCGTATTCATAAATTTTGCGTACGAATTGAAAAAAAAACAATTGAAAAATTTAAATATCGATACTTAGCTAAGTAGTTTATATTACACAGTATCTTTTCGGAGTGAAATTTTCAGTTTACCCCTTACTACATTCCGGCAGATTCTTTATTGATTTATCATTCATTTTTTCAAATCGTGGAAGGTAATAAACCCAAAAACACAGTATAAAATATTAAGTCCTCCACAAAAAAGTGTCGTTTAAAGAATCTGACCAAAAGTATTGCCTCTGAAGTTCATCAAGGAAAGGATGGTCACATTAGAGTGGTAGATGTGAAAACGTCCATGGACACATTTAAAAGACTTCTGACTAAGTTGTGCACTCTCAATGTTGATGAACTGCATAGTATTAGTTGAAGAAAAGGAGCTCATCACCAGGAGGGAGATTATGACAAGAACCAACCATGTTTTGAAAAATTTTGACAATTTGTGTCTCGAAAACAAACGATTTATTTTGACGAGATCCACCACATACTTAGTTTTTGTAATGTTCCCATCAACTTTACTTAGTGCCCTAGGAGCTATGTGATATGCATCGATATATAAAATTGTAAACATATCGAAAATGATCACCTCCAGTGTTGAGGAAGTGTATCTTTTTTACTTGGAAAATTTCAACACCCTGAACCTCCGAAATGAAGCATTTCCAGTCACAAGTTTATATAGACTTTTATTCTTAAAATTGTCTCAGGAATGCGGACGGTAGCCGCCGTGTTGGTCGTGATTCAAGCCCCAGGTTGAACGATCGATTTTCACTTGCTATCGAACAACCCGTGTTAGGAATCACACGTTAAAGATAAGACCTCGTTGACTTTATAAT